CCTAAGGGCCACCTTAGCAAAGCGCATCCCAGGCTGCATAGCCGCACTACCCTACCCAACCATACCACACATAAACATGACACTACCCCCGGGGTTTACACAGACGAGCCGGCGAAGCAAGAAGAGCGCCAGAAGAAAGGGCCCTAGCCGGCGGGGCCCAGCCAGGACAAAAGGAGGTCCCACAAAGCGCCTACACCGGCCGCATTTGCTGTCGGGGTAGACGACGGATGGGGCCCACCTACGAAGGCTGTCCATGCCTGCACGAGATGAGGCAGGATAAAGAGGGATAATCCCCCTCGATCCCAAATCATTGAGGCCAATTTCTAGCCATGGAATAATGGCGCGGCGCAGGCATCGGCATCTGCTTCTAACGTATGCGCACCATTCCCTATTTACTCGGCAAGAACAGAGCGATGAGGCTTTCCTTCCGGTCAAGATCCAAACAAAACTCATAGTGTATAGATAATATGTATATGACTAATAGTAATATTTTCAAAGATAAAAGATATAATTTTTAATCAAGGATATTTATATAAATATGCTTTTTCGTAATTTTATCGTAATACATTGTCGCCATGGTATAATAAAGTTGGATTGAACTTAAACACTTCTATTCTGGGCTTCAGTTGCGCCAGCCAATCATCAGAGCCCTACTGACGTATCATCTCTTGATTCGTTATATTGTCGTCGCTCCTCTTAAAGTAGCCAATCGCAGTTTAGCGTGAAATATCCACATACTTCTATCCTATAGATAGAATCCTATAGATAGAAGTATGTGGAAATATCGTGCCTGATACCGGAGTAGAAAATTCCGTTTATTTCCCCCACTTAATACCGTTACTTATTGTTTGTTTTACGAAAAGCGGGAAATTGGATTAGTCATCATTCATCAGTCTAATCTGGAAAGTTGATCGTGTCGTCTGAGCTATTTTATACTGCCCAAGCGAACCACAGAGAGCAAGACTTAAAAACCGATTAGCAAGATTTCTTTGATTTTATTGCACGTTGTTTAATTTGTACATGCTTAATTGTTCTGTATCTAATTCAGAGTAGATTTAACTGCATGTTATTTATTTTGTGCATGGTTAATTGTTAACATTTTAGTTTAGAATATTTGTGCAGCTTTAGTTGTTCTTACTTTTACTTTAGAATATATATTTATTTAATAATGGACCCTGCGGTTTTTATGAGAGGTCATTTTAATTCGTATAGTTTGGGTTATTATCTAGGTATAGACGGAACAGAAACAGCAGAACAAAAACGAAGATCTAACGAACAAGGACTGAAGCTGCTACAACTTTATGGTGTCATTCCTATAAGAAATACGCCCGCAAATTGCCCTGATTGTAACGCACCTTTAAGCACGATTTCCGAAAGAGAAAGATATGGCTGGAGATACAGCTGCAGGAACCATCAGGCTAGAAAGAAGTTTTCGCCGTTAGAGAACACGTTTCTATCGAGAGCTCGTTTGAATGGTGAGATGACAGCGGACAAAATTATCTTGATCATAGATATGTGGCTAAAACGTGAGCCACTTGTTTCTGCTCAAGAAACTTTGTCCATGTCTGCCAATACGGTTGTTGCCTGGTACGGATTCTGTCGAGATGTAGCTTGTGCCATCGCTTGGCACGACTTCATCCCCATAGGAGGTGCGGGTGACGTCGTGGAGGTAGACGAATTTCACTTGTTCAAACGGAAGCATAACGTTGGCAGAGAAACGATGTCGGAACGTGCTTGGGTGGTTGGTGGAATAAGCAGAACGACGAAGAACCGATTTGCAGTTATAGTGGAACGAAGAGATGCAGACATTTTGATGCCGCTTCTACAGCAATGTATTGATGGAAATTCATATATTTGTACAGACGGGTGGAAGGCATATGAAGATTGTGACATGGTATTTAACGGGCATGGAGTAGCAAACCACAACCAGAATTTTCTAAACCCGCCAAGAGAGGAAGAACCAAATTGGGCATCTGCTGGAACTTTTAATGAAGAATGTTTGGATACGAAATGGAATGGACCTGCACCTCAACCTGGATATGTACCATTTAGGAACCACACACAAACAATCGAAAGAGCATGGATAGACCTAAAAGAATGTTTGAAGACTACAAATAGCATGGAATACGCCAGTGAATACATTGGGGAATGGATGTATAGAAAAGACATATTGGAAAGAAATTTAAATATGAAAGAGAAGTTAGAGAAATTTTTAAGAGATATCAGAAGAGCCTACCCTGGAATTGGAAAGAAGCCCATGAAGAAGAGTTTTGAAGATTTACTGGACTGTGACTGCCACGAATGTGAACCGTGAGGTATGTTCACCACTTACACTTTTAAAGTGTAGCCGCGCAGTTACTTTTAATAATGTCAAAAATTCTTTATTAGAATAATCATAAAATTTATCCATTGTTTTATTTATTTACTGAAATACCTAAAAAATTAAAAGTAACTGGGTGGTCTCTCCTATTGTCCATTACGTCATCGTCGTAGGAGGGTGGCAACGCCTTTTGGGAATATCATATTACAGAGTGTATCAGTTGCAAATACAAACAGTTTCATGCATCGAAAAAGTTTTAATTCTTCGACATAACATTTTGTCTTAAAACGCTTAGTTTTTGGGATACAAGGGGTTGAATATTTTAATTTTTATACGTTTTCATGCCATATTTTTTTGGTTTCACATATATTTCTTAATTTGGATATGGTTAATTTGTTGGAAAGAGCACAAAACTTTGGGACCTCATTTTATTTTTAAAAAATGTACGCCTATAATATATTTGCCTTGACAAAAAATGTCTCGTCAATTTTTGATATTACTAGCTTTCCAGAAAATCGAGTCATAATGTAGGTATTCCAGAAAACACCCTACCATTTAACCTCGACTTTCTGGATAACTAATAATAGTTTCAAAAATTGACAAATATTTTTTATAGAGAAAGTAATGAGGATTACAAAAATATGAAAAATATTTCTATAGGCGTACATTTCCTTTTGGAGGCCCTAACCCTCATATCTACGCCCATGTAATTGATAATGGCCAAGTTTTTACATAGGTTTGTGTCCTTTCCAATGAATTAACCTTACCCAAATTAAAAAATATATCTGAATCCAAAAAAAGTTATGCTATGAAAATCTTTAAAAAAATTTATATTCAACACCCGCAACTAAGCAGTGTGAGAAAATGTTATAGGTCAAATAATTATTCTTTTTCAATACTATACTATACCCTGTACACTAAAATTTACATTGACACACGGTATGTGCAACAATTTTAAATTATACAGAACATACAGACAAAGTTAATTCCCAAATGGTGGCTAAAATGGACTATAATGTTTATTTATTTAGAATGAAACCAAAAAATGTTTAGGTTTTCAAATTATTTACTTTTTAAAAGAAAACGAAAAAGTGAAATTTTGAGCATGCAACCCTGGACCCACCCTAAGCAAAAATCTTAGCGACACTCTTGACAAGGTGCAAAGGACCCAAGAGTCATCTATAAACAAAGTCCATGTGGATTTTGGTTTTTGTGCGAATTCGGCAAAAACGGATCTCCGGGGTATTCTGATGTGTAGAATCCGAAAATCGCAACATAAATAGGGTAACTCCCATTTTTGATGGAGATATATGCCATGTACTCAAGAGCTATAATCCAATCAATTTTTTAAAAATTACTTTTTTTCACAAAATGAAACATATTTCTCTTTTCAACTTCATCTGTATATTATAGGTTATATATATTACAGATAATATATATCATCACAACTAAATATTTTTATAGGAAAATGAATAATTTTTACTAAAGCTGACCTAGTATTTTTTTAACTGGCGTTAAAAACTAGGTATATTTGTTCTCAAAACAAAAAAAAAGTTTCCAATTAAATTTTATTGAAAAATAAGAAAATACACTGCACTGCACAATACGGAAACACGATGTCTAATTCAGTAATGCCTGTTTAGAAGAACAAATAAAAGTACACTCAAAACTACCGTCTTGGGTGGGGACATAAAAATTGACAATTTTATTTGAATTAGTGTAGTGACAAGGTTATTGCGGTGGCAGAAGCCCTTGTCTTAACTAAAATGATTTACAGATCGATAACCCTTCGGTGACTACCATTCCAAGATGGGCGTTTTTCAAGGAACCAAAATTCCCAAATTCAATGCGGACACCACTGTAGGACCATTGCAGACCCAGCATGGGGTGTGTTTGAATGTCAGCCCGAGTACTCTGCAGCTTATGAACCAGGAATGGATATCTGACCAGTACACTAATACGCTCATTGTAAACGGCTATCCTTTTTATATAAGAATATAAGCTCCCGAAGTTATCTATTAGTGATATAATGAATGTTCGCATTCGCAAGTTCGCATTCATAAAACTTATGTGAATATTTTGCAAATATGAATATCAGAAAAAAACTTTTTTTTTTAAATACCAAAATAATACCGATTAAATAATACAAAAAATATTAATTTCTTTGCATTTTTATTAGATAAGTTTTTTATTGCCCTTTTAAAAAATAACTTAAGTTCTTTTGCTAAGGTAACCTTGCAATTATATCTTTTATCACCTTCACTTAACATTAGGTGATAAAACTGAATATTCGCATTCGCATAGGCCAATATTGGCGACGGATATTCGCAATTCGCATTCGCTTTTCGCGAATACCTAAAAATGACATTCATTACATCACTATTATCTATTAATTTTAAACATGCTGAAAAAATTATAAATGGGTATAATTAAAAAAAATACAATGTGGGTAATCTTTAATATCCAATTTTTAATACAAAATGTACATACATATAAATAAACATAAATTTAAAGCATTATTTACTACATTTAATGAGTCATATTAACAACGGACAAATCGTTCTTTTAATTCAATAATATGCTGTGATTTGAAATATCTAATTTTGGACCATAAAACTATTATTTCTTGTCCTTCATTAAAGGAGCCTAGAATAAAGTAAAAAATATAATATTCAATTACTTTTTTCATTATTATATAATATAAACTTCTTAAACAATAATAAACAAAGGAAACTATTCCTTAAAGGAATATTTTAATATCCAAAAGATATTTTTTTTTCACAATGGCAGTGTCCCTGGCGCGAACACAACTAAGATATCTAAAACTCTCCAGCACTTCCAGTTATCCAGGAAGTCGACACCAACTTATTTAATAAAGTGACCCTCAAATTTCACGTAGAATCCGAAAATACAATATATAGGGTGTCCTGTTTAAAATAATGAAGTTGGTGTCGACTTCCGGATTAACCGGAAGTGCTGGAGAGTTCTAGATATTTTAGTTGTGTTTGCCCCAGGACATTGCCATGTTGCCAAATTTTCAAATTTTTTGGGTCAGTACTTTCCTAGATATCGATAGACGCAGGTCCCGGTGGGATACCCTGTATAGCACATGACTAAAAAATTATGGCTTATAATTGGGTAGAATTTCATAATTAAGCACGTTAATTTCTTTTCTGTCTTGAACCTAAGAAACTCGTGCGTCTTTTAAGTTTTCAGAGGTGGAAGCAAGCTTTCTATTTTATAGGTAAGCTATAGTACGATCGTTTTCGATGCAAAGTAGAGCAAAAAGTTGTCGGTCTTTTATCAAAGGAAAATCGTGTCATCATTTTTAGGAGGCGTAAGATAAATCATTTCAAATTTAAAATGAAATTCAATGTAAAATCTGAAATACCGCTGCATACGCACTGTGTTCTGGTAGTAACTGTAGTCGCCCAGGTGCATCGAGTGTACGAACTGGTCGGTTATATGTCAAATACTAACCTGGCAAGCTTTGCAGTCAATTAGAGAGCGCTTCCAAAAAACAAGTAAACAACAGTGGCGCGTACAAGAGGTAAAATGTAGTACATATGTGGAATTTAGGAAACAAATTGGATTTATAATAAATTACATTTAATATAAATAGTTTATGAGAATAAAGGAATTTTTGTAGGAACAAGGGTGCCAGACGTGAACTGATCCCTTCGTCCCTTCATAATGTATAAAGAAATTATTCAATTTGTAAAACCCTTAAAAGCGTACTTCATTGGTTTCCTTGACAGGCAATAATTTATTACTTTGCATCAAATATGATCCTACTATAGGTAATTCAAAGAAATACAAAGAAATAAAAATATAGGAACTAATAATAAAATATCTATATATTTTGTACAGGGTGTCTCAAACTCAATAGTATGGGCCTACTGTGGGGATACAAAAAATTTAAATAAAATTTGACAGAAACGACTAATGCCTAATTATATTTTTTCCAGAAACATACCCAAATTTTTTTCCTGTTGAAAAACTCTCTTTTTTTCTGATAAACTTTTAATAGAGAAATGTCTCTATACTACTTCCCGTTTAAAAGTTATGAGCAATATCATCCTAAAGAGCCTCAAAAAACATACCACCTAAAAATCACATTGGCGGCGGAAGGATCAAGTCATTGGAAAATAATTGAATGTTTGTTGTTTAAAGTGTATTATATGTTTTGTGGTTTAAAGTGCATAAATGTTGCAAAATATTTGTCATTACTCAATATGAATGTCAAACGTATAACTTTTTACTTAGAAAATGTTTTCTCACTCAGAAAAAGTTCATAATATGTTGCTAATTTACGAGTCACAAAAAAAATTCAGGAACAGCTGTAGAGTTATATCGAGAAAGGTATCCAGAGCGCCCCATTCCTAATCATAGAACCTTTACAATATTGGAGGTGACTTTGTGACGAAATGAAGATGCATTTACTGTTCGGAAAAATCAAGTAATTGACTGAAGGGTAAGAAACAATGTTAATTCAACTATACTGTTACAGTATTTCGGACAAAATCCACGAAAGTCTATATGGCAGGCTAGCCAGGAATTGAATTTGGATAAATAAGCCATTCAACGAATTTTAAAGACCAATGGGTATCATGACTACAAAATTCACAATTTGGAGTATTTGCCTGAGCGTCACATTGAAAACAGACTTAATTTTATAGCCCAATTGTAGTAAATGTAGAAACTGTTGATCAGAACCTTTTTCGGCACGTTATTTGGACGCACGAAAGTCGCTTTGTAAGTAATGGTTTGCCAAATAGGCGCAACGAACACTACTAGTTCATTGAAAATCCCCACATTGTAAATTCAGTCCAAAACCAAGGCCATTTTGGAGTAAATGTATGGTGCGGCATCATAGGAAGGCATTTATTTGGGCCTTATTTTTATGAACATACATTGACCAGCGTGAGTTACCTACATTTCCTACATGAAGAACTTCCTGCATTTCTGGAGAATGTGCCTTTGAAGCTAAGAAGAAACCTATGATTTCAGCATGACGGGACTCCACGCCACAAGGCCAGCAATATTTAGATAACACTTTCCCAGAAAAATGGATTGGGCTTAATGGATCTATTCAGTTGCCCAGAAGGTCACCAGATCTAACACCCCTCAATTTTTTTGTTTTTTTTTTAAAACACGAGATATTAATCATTTGAAAGAAAAAATCACAAACGCTTGTAATGAGTTAAAGCTGAAATATTAATAAATGCAGCCCACAAAGAAGTCAGGCGAAGATTGGATATGTCTTGAAATGAGAGGAGGTCATATAGAGAATAGATTATAATATGTACCTGTATATAGTATGAAAGCGTTTGCCTCATTTTTTAAGTTTAGTTATTGTTATTAAAGAACGATCGAGTTTAATCTATTTATTTATTCTTAATTCAATTATTTTCCAACGACTACTTGATCCTTCCACCGCTAATCTGATTTTTAGGTGGTATTATTTTCTTTCGAAACTCTTTAGGACGATATTGCTGATAACTTTTAAACGGGAAGTAATACAGAAAAATTTCTCTAATAAAAGTTTATTAGAAAAAACAGCTTTTTACAGGCAAAAAATTCGGGTATGTTTCTGGAAAAATATAATTGATGACGTCTTTAGTCGTTTTTGTCAAATCCCAAAGATAATACTTTGTGAAAATGGAGCTTACCTCATCCCATTTAACACCATGTGTCCCAAATTTTATTTAAATTTTTTGTATCCTCACAGTAGGCCCATACTATCGAGTTTGAGACACCCTGTACTAATTCAGTTTGACACAATAAGATTTGATTTTTTCAGTCTTCATTTTCAGAAAGAAGGAAGAGAAAAAACTAGTGTACCAAACTGAATAACTATAAACAGTAAAATGAGACACAAGTATGTTAATATTGAATTTGCTGGATGTCTTTCTATAATGAAAATATATGGCTAGAATGTTCTAAAAATAATATATCTATTACAATATGTCAAATTATTACTAGTTCATGAGAAATATTTCTTTGAAATTCTTGGTACTGACTTTTCAAAATTTTAGTCTTTTCTTGAATAACATTTATAAAAGGTTAATTCTTGCAGCAGTGAATTTGGTATTGTTTATATTTATCATATAAAAATAAAATATGCCTATTTCATTCACTTTTTGTACATCTAGTATTACTTCATTATGTAATTTATGGATTCGATTTAGGCGAAATTTTCATTCTTTAATTTATAAAGCATAAACTGTTATAGAATTAATAATTATTAATACTTATTACTCTGATTCAATTACACACTTCATTACCTGATTCTTCAATATCAATCTTCACTATGAATAGTGATGTGCATCTTAAGAGGACAAGAGATATGCCACTTTTTATGCAGCCTTGATTTTCTTTTCTGTTTCAGCTATAAGTTCATCAAGTTCTTCTATAGTATATATTTTCTTTCTATATGCTTTTGCTGGAGTTGTCTTGTCCTGTAAATTATTGAATTGATCATCAACATTTTTTTATCATTTCGAGTAACTGATATCAGTAAATACTAACCCAAAATTGTAAATATTCAGGTGATACAGATTCTAAATACAGCAAACGATCTTCTAACGATTTTAAACGATTATAAATATTTTTGGGAACAACAGTTGTCAAACTTAATTGGCATTCAAGGTTCTGTAGTCTTTCTTCGATACCATTTGGAGGTATAAATTTTCTTAAGTAATCTGAGTTAGTTTGATCCCTGTGCTGATAAGAATTTAACACCCGATTAACTGTTACAAATAAAAAAACATATTAATATTTTCCCATACAAATTATTACAAGATAGTTCTTCATTAATAAATGTATGGTAAAACTTGTTTTTCTTTTTATCATCCATTACTAGGTCAGTCATTCTACGGGAAAAAGAGCGATTTCAAGAAGAAATTGATAGCAGCAATCTGGCGACGGGATCTTGTTAGGGGAGGATAGTTAATGAAAAATACATAAATTGGTACAGCCAATTTTGCCCCCACTCCAAATAAACAATGGTCAAAGTAGTCAAAATTAGGTTTTTCTCAAATATAATTTTTTAAACGCAATATAGAGAAAAAGTCTTGAAATGAAAGTTGTAGGTATTAATAAAACCTACAATTTCATCTTTTTTTATCCATTAAAATCGGTCCATTATTTATTGAGATAATTGCAAAAAATATGCATTTTTGCAGTGTTTTTTAATTGTTAATAGCTTTTGCAATAATGGTCATAGGCGAATTTTAATCTACTAAAAATGAGGGTATTATAACTCTTTATGTGGCCACAAATTGGGCCCGATCGGTGCAATAGTTTATGAATAATTGCATTTATTTATCCCAAACACGATATTTTTAAACAATTGAGCTAGGTCAGTGAGTGCATAAAAATCAATTTAAATGCCGGGAAATGATAGTTAAAAGTCTGAAAATTATGGTATGTTAATAAATGATTTTTTCAATTTTGTTGCATTTTTTTCAATGCAAAAAAATAACTGGAACTACTGGTCTCAGAAACACGACAATCATATCTCTATCTTGCCTCTAAAAAATTATATTAGAAAAACTTCATTTTGACTACTTTGGCCATTGTTTATTCGGTGTCAAAATTGTCTGTACTAATTTATGTATTTTTCATTGCCTGCCTTAAAAAAATATTTTTTTTTTAATTTTTTTAATAATTTAAAAACTGATAAGTGAAATAATTTGAAATTTAGAACATGTATTTATGTCAACATTGTCCAAAATATGTGGCATTTTTCTAAAATTTAGATGCTCCAGTGGTGGCAGAGATACAGGGTATCGGTATCGGTGTCATATTTTTCTAAATAAAATAGTATGCCACTGCTTTATAGTAACAAACATGATATTTTCGGATTTGTCTTTCAATTTTCTACAAAATACTACTCTTGTATGTTTTTTGAAAAGAGCCCGGTTTTCGAGTAAAACTTAAAAAACAAACTGTGTTTAGTATTAAGCTATTATAAAAGCAAGGAATGGACTAACTAATAGAATGGGGACAAGAGAGAGAGAAAAAAAGGAAACTATGCAAACTTACTAAATGATGATGATGTACATATCACAATTATGATAGCCAAAGGTAAAAGGATACGAGAGAGTGAGGAATGGGAGGATGCTTTATACCAATATTTGTATCGATCCATTCGAATTCTATCACATCTGTTTTTTTGTGTTTTTTTTAATTATTCAGATTTCTTCGTGGCTACAAAACCTATTCCTTGGAGTTTAAACTATCAAAGGATTTCTATTTGTTTGAATCCATTTTTTGGCTTAAACAAACTGAAAATACCAGACCTCAATCCATTGGATTTCTTTTTGTAGAGTGCTGTTAAGCGGCTGGTTTACATTGAACAAATTAATGCACATGAGCAGTTAGAAGAAAGAATAAATAATGCTTTTCATCAGATTCAAGTAACAATAAATTTCAAACAAATTACATTTTTGTTACTACAAAGATGTTGTGCCTGTGTTGGTGGATATGGAGGTATTTTTGAGCATTTACACAAATACAATCATTAAAATGACAAATAATCATATTAATTTCTTTATTCGATTAAATAGTGGATGATTAGTGTCTGTCACGTCATTTAGGTAAAAGCGTCTCGTTTTTTTAGTTTTACTTGAAAATCGGGCTTTTTTCGAAAAACATAAGAGTAAACATGAGTAATTTGTAGAAAATTGAAAGACGAATTAGAAAATATCATAACTGTTACTGCGATGAATATATATTTTTTAATAGATTTTTTATTACTCATGACGGATAAGTCCTATCTTTTCGCATGTTTTTTAGGTCGGTAACTAGCTGTTTGCCCACTCTATTTATTTGCGTGCGGTAATTACTTGTCGCACGCAAATTGCCAATAAAACACGCAAAATTTAAATACCTACACATTCGAAAATATTATTTTTAAAAAGTGACATTTAAATGACAGTTATTTATGTCAACCTAAACTGAATAAAAATATGCGAACCCCCTCAAGTTTTCATTACATTCGTAATAAAAAATGTATGTGCAATTCGTGCAGTTGTCTATTGCCCACTTGAGCAAATGAACGCACTCACTTCATTCGTGCGCTCAACTCCACTCTCGTGGGCAATAGACCGCACTTATTGCACAATATACTATACTGTGTACCAAATTTAGTGATTCTCATACAACAGGGTTCTGAGATATAAAAAAGACTATTCTTAGGGGCAGATTTCCGGAGGCTGTAATTTCGAAAGAGGGGGCCACTTGGCAAAAATAAAAAATACTGGTCCTCTAAATTTGTCTTGAGAACGTATGACCAAATTTTGTTGCATTAATTTCGGGACACCCTGTATGTTTATCTCAAGAATTATTTTTAAAACAAGATCTTATAACAATTTTCTTAAAAAATTCTTTTATAGTCCATTTTTTATGACTTCGTAAATTGATTTAAATTAGTATTTTTCAATGACTGTAATTGCTCAGAACATTTACATAGGTATAACTTCTCCAATTTAAAATTTTAATAAGTTAGAGTACCATAAATAATATAAAAAATAAGGTCATGTGTAATGTAATTATTTTCAAGAAAAGAACATGATCTATTACAGAATTTGCAATCGACTTTTTTGAAATTTTTAGAATAAATATATTAGTCTAATAGATCGGGTAAGATAACATCTAGAGCAAGGGTCGGCAACTGGCGGACCGCGGTCCAGATCCGGACCGCGGAAGGTAAAATAATGGACTCTCAAAAATTTTTTGAAAGTATAAATTACTCAATTAAATTATTTAAAAAATAGTTTTCTATTGATAATAATACGTTTGAGTGCCACCCTCATCATTTTTACTACAATTGCGTGATTGATTTGAGTTCTTAATGGTTAGTAGGTTAAAATTTGTGAGTTCATATTAAAATAAAAAATTAGTAAGGAATGTTTTTTTGTGGACTTCGTTAAAAATTTTCAAAAGTATCCGGACCCCACCTAAAATTACTTGCCGACCCCTGATCTAGAATAATTGCAGGTAATTGAAAATTAAGTATTTTATTACTTTAATTATAAGATTAATACTCCAAATAAAACAGCAGCAATTATATAAATTAACAAGTTAAATAAAGGTATTATCTTTATAACCTGTCATATAATTACAATTCTCTAACCTTGAATTGTTTTGAGAAGTCTATTGTACATTAAATTAAAAACCAGAATAATTTATTACCTTCCAAATGACTTTTAGAATCCTTCCGCTTTTGTAGAACCGCATCAATTCGAGCACAAGTAAATTCTGAATTTCTGTCACCACAACAAAATTCTCTTATATTATTAGTATCTATCTCAGTCCTTTTTCGCTCCATAAATTTTGTAATCCTCTCATCTACTTCTGCCTTAGAAGCATTAACTTGTATTAAATATGGAGGCACATAAGGAACATCTACTTTCTGTTGGAATTCAAATTTATTTTTTTTAAGCTTTGGAGGATAAGGAGATGCTGCAAATAAAAGACAGTAATTAAACAAATGTTCTTTATTGTACCTATCTAATAAAGGGAAACAATAAGAAATATATTAACAATTCCACTAGAATCTTAAACTACAATGACCAAAAAAAAAATAGCAACAGTTAAAGCTCATCCAAATCCTACCCTACTATGACGGTCTTCCGTCTCCTTCACTCCTGCTCCGGACTCTCTTCTTGATCTGCGCATATGGCAGACCAGATGAGTTCGGTCAAGTTGTAAAACATTAAAAAAATTATGTCTTAAAATACAACTAATTCTTTCTACATACCAGAAACTATGCATGTAATAATTACATCTGATGATAATTAATATTCTTTTTAACAATTCTCTTGAATAAAGTAATCGAACAAAAATAAACTATACCACATAAACCAAAATATATTCTCAACCGAATGAAGAATTGTTTTTTTTTTTGTATTATACACATGTATAGGTACATACAATACATGCATATAATGCAAAATGTAAACGACAAAAGAGGCTATATTATAATTATTTAATTAATTAAGGCTTTATAAAGTTACTAGACCACGCACATTCTTTATTTTCCTTCCACTGAGAGTTGGAATCTGCATCTGCATAAAACTCCTTTTTCCAAATAGGTACCAATTTTTTTACACTATTAATACACCATTCCGTTGCCTTTATAGCTTCCTCTCGATGTGGAGAAGATATTGCTATCACTATACTCGTCTCTTGTACAGGCACTACACCTAATCTAAAAAATTAGGGTTTAGATTTACTTATTTGTACTGGACAAGTATTATTCTTACCTATGATAAATAGCAATATTTTCTACGGAACTCCACTCTTCTCTAATATCGCAACAAATTTGCTTTAAGGCTTTCATTCCCATAGGTTCGTATGCTTCATATTCTAGTTTTACTACAGGCTTGTCACCAAAATGATCTCTTGTTGTTCCCATAAAAACAGATACAGCTCCACAGGATGGAGATATTACAAGGCCAGTAACCTCTTCCACGGATATTTTTTCATTAGTAAACTTAAGGTGGTCCATCTTAAAATAAATTTAGATAAATACCCCCTAATGTTTATTAACCACCACTCAATGGAGGAATAACTGCAATTTCATCACCAGTTTTTATTTCGAGTGTTGATCCGGTATTACAATACTGTTCATTCAATGCCAAAATTATATTCTTCTGTATATCTTCCAATGAAAATGTGATCACAATTTGTTCTAATAATTTGGCATACGAAATTGGGGACAAAACAGACAAAACACCGCAAGTTGTACCTGTAATTTCCTTTGCTTTAGCAAAAAATAAAATTTTTATCTCCACCTTCATACTTCAGCTTTCAAAGTATTACTAGATAGATACATTTTATTAACAATTGATATTGATAATTATTATCCCTACCATGATAGAGACAATTTATTTATAATTATCTATCTACTTACTTTGTTATTAAGACACGTACATAAGCATGACAAATTCTATTTTGGTATTACTTTAAGGTTAACAGATAACAGAATTTGAGGTTAAAAATGACAAAATGACCTGTTCTGTTATTCAATTTTTTTGGTAGTCACAGCAACCGAACCGGAAACGACAGTAATTTTTCGCGGTAGCACAAAAAATTCAAATAATTTATATTTTTTCTCTTTCCTCATTAACACTACACATATCATCACTGAATTTAACAAAATAGTAATTTCTATTAGCTTTCCTAGTAAATCTGTTTCAATTAAATATTCAAAATGTATCTCTTTAGTTTTTTAAGTTTGTAGATAGTTGTACATACCTGTTCAAAGAATAAAAAATAAAAACATCTTAATTCTAAATTTTGCATTGAAAGATTTTTTTCTAAAGTTGAGTGTGATGTGTGATTTGAAAGAAGCAAACATAAAATGTAAAACACTATTTTATTTGTACAGGAAATGCTACTATGCTTATATTACTATAGCAACCATAATTTGATTGATCATTTGAACAATTTTGAAATGGATGGATTACAAAAACCACAAATAATTTGTCATAATCAGAAATCTCTTGATTATGCCGTACATGATGTAAAGTGGATACCGTGTTCAGCAAAATTTGTTGCTCTTGGAGGGAAATCTAATGGTGCTGGAATTGTTGAAATATATTGTCTTACAGGAGATGGTATAGAGAAAAAAAGTGAATTTTGTAAAAAAGAACATTTTAAATGTGGTACATTCGATGCCTCCAGTTTAAGAAACAGATATTTAGCTACAGGAGATTTTGCTGGCCGATTGCAAGTCTGGTGGGTAATAATTCATTTTTAATTAATTCCTTAATAGCTAAAAATTGATAAATAAAGATATTTTTCAGTGTTAATTATATATACAAAAAAAAATAAAAATTACCATAAATAATATCTAAATCTTCATTTTCAATAACAATTTTTTTACAGTAATTATAATGATAAGGCTTGTCTTAAAATATTGATTTTTAGGGATTTAGAAGACACTTTGGTACCTGTCTACATATCTACAGCACATAAAGCTGTAATAAATTCTATTGACGGTGTTTCTGGGACCAACTCAGGATGTGGGGCACCTGAAATTGTTACAGGATCTAGAGATGGTATGATATTCATGAAAAGTACGAAAGAATCAGTAGGACATAGAATCAATAGGGGCATAGCTCTGAAAAAAATCAAAACTTTTTCATTCCTGATTTCTCTCTCTCTCTGACGTTTCATATAACTACATTGTATACTTTTTTCGAGAAACAAGTAGTTCAAGAGTTATTTTAAGTTAAATTTAAGTGCTTGGTAATGAAAAGTATGTAGTAACTCAAAAAATTTCTACTGTTTTTTAAGGTGGAGAAGTTTTTTTTTAAAAACATCATTAGAAGTTTAGAATCAGCGACATAAATTTTTAAATGTCCAGTAGTGTCGAATTGGGGCTTTATAGTGATAACGACTTCCTTCATTTATCACTTAGCAGAATTTACCTACATCATTTAACCCGTTTCATTTTAAAAAAATTTGAAAACTAAATAAAAAAAAGCATTTCCTTCATAAGCTTTATTCTTATTCTAACTAAACCAAATTCAAATTTTAAGTTTGGCCCAATTAATATTGGGACACCTTTACTATATCTTTTTAGGTTCTGTGATGGTTTGGGATGTAAGGCAAAAAGATGCCCCAGTTGCAAAATTTTTGCCAACAGAAGGAACAACAGCTAGAGATTGTTGGTGTGTAGCGTTTGGTAATTCATACAACAATGAAGAGAGAGTCATAGCAGCTGGATATGATAACGGAGATATAAAAATGTATGACCTAAAAAACATGTCACTGCTTTGGTCTAAATGTGTCAAAAACGGGGTAAAGTTAAAATTATTCTTAAGCTCAATTTTTAATGTTGAACTGAACTATATGCAGTTATTAATTATTTTCTTCAGACTTCTTACTGCACTCAAAATATTTAAAATTTGCCATTTTCAAAATATAAAAATTTTACTGACGACGAGCTTAAGGTTCGCAAACCTTTTGTATATACAAACTTAATTTGCTTGTGTCAGATAAACCCTGCCAATACTTTAGAAACAGTATGTATGGTTCCAAAGTCTTGATTTTTTTTTCTATGACTATCTTTTTTGAACATTAACCAAGGAAAAATAAAATAACAAAGAAAAGTAAATAACTTCTTTTTTGATATACTTTATTTATTCAGTTATTCAGTTTCAGACCGCACTCGAATACTTACCTCAAAAAAAAAATTGTAATTAAATTTAATGAGAATTTCCTATTTATAAAAATAGATTTGTTGTCATAGGTACTATTTACAGGTAGTCGGGCTCCAATTTGATAGAAAAAACATACAAATGAATAAACTTGTTGCTACTACATTAGAGTCAAAATTATATTGTTTTGACGTGAGAACCTTGCATCCCAAGAAAGGCTTTGCTCATCTAACAGAGAAGGCTCATGATTCGACAATATGGACGGCCAAGCATTTACCACAAAATAGAGAGATATTTATGACAACTGGTGGATCTGGCACACTATGTTTGTGGAAATAGTAAGTATAATTTAAAAAAATCATTGTAATGTATAGATTCAGAATTTACTTCAGAATTGAAAGTAATTGGTATATTTCAAAAAACCACAAAATTATATAAAGTTACAAGTTATAATATGTACAGGGTGTCCCAGAATAACGTGTACAACGGAAAACCACAGATTTGTGGACTCAAAACAGGCAGATTTAGGTTAATTCATCTATATCCCAAATCACTCGTTTAGCCGCTACATGGCCTAAAACTTCATGAAATTTTTTCAATTTTGTAAATAACTCGAATATGTATTAATCGATTTTGATTATTTTTGGGGTGTGGACTTTTGCTTTCAAGCTACAAATTTTAGTGTTATACAGAGTGTTGATTAAAACTTATAACTCCTACAAAATTGATGTATGGTGAAAATAACCGTTCAAAACTTTTTTCTCTTTCGGACAATAATGACAACTATTTTTTATTTGATAGGTGATACCATTTGGAAATTTTTGGGCCTCTTGTAGAATTTTGATTAAATGAGCGGTTTGGGTACAAAAAAATATTTTTTAAATGTCTATGTTATCTCGCAACCCATATTACAATACTTAACAAAGTGCTAGTAGTCACTGATTTTGTAGGTTGACTGTAATTTCAGTTTGATATTTACCTAAGTCATTGTACATGACAATTTTTAATCAGTGTTTACTACGATAAGATATACCACAATATTACTTCATTTTTCGAAATGGATACACACATACGACGAATTAAGAGTTGCTTACAACGTGCCTAATTTTATTGAAATAATTCATAAAAAAATAGAATAAAAAATGCTGGAGATAAATGTAACAAAGTTGATGTTATTAAATTTAGTACAACTTATTATAAAAACTGTTCAAAATGACCACCATTGATTTTACAACAAAAGTTAATTCGGCGAAGAAAGTTAAATGACACCCTTTGCAGTTCCTAAAGGCTATTTTTTAAAACATTTATGGTATTTTGGATATGCCTCCACAACTCTTCTTCAGTGTTGGATGTGGAAGCATGCACTGTTTGTTTTCAGAGTGCCCCAAAGATAATAATCGCAAGTCTGGTGACCCTACAGGCCAGTTAACAGAAACATTATCCCTCTATACTGATCCATCGACGAGGGAATCTTTGCTTCAGATACCTACATTTAATTTACTGTGAAATGTGGTGGAGCGACATCATGCATACAGCACATGTTAGCTCTGAGTAATAACGGCAGATCTTTCAATAACTGGGGTTTTCCAAATATTCTAAATAAATTTCCCCATTCAATCTATTGGGTACAATTACAGAGCAAATAATATTGCTATTAATGATCCCAGTCCAAATTCATGCTGATAATGTTTCATTTTGATAGCATGTGGATTTTATTGAGCATACACATGTTCTTTGTGAATATTTATTATTTAGCTTCTAGTAAAACAGAATTGGCAGGTACAATAATTTAAAGATCAATCTGAAATTGCAGTCAACCTACAAAATCAGAGCCTACTGGCACTTTTGTTAAGTATTGTAGTACTAGTATTGTGGCAAGATAATCTCTACATTTAAAATAGTATATTATTCAACGAGCGTATAATGATGGGTATTATTCACGAGGTGAAGTTTACGGGCACAAGCCGAAGGCGAGTGGCCTAAATCACCGAATGGATAATAGCCATTATGCGGGAGTAGAATACTATACTTTATCCACGACTACTAAATATTTTTGTTGAAGTTTTTTTGTTTTTAGTTTGTTTTTTAACACAATTTAACACAAAATATCAAAACACTGAGAAATCTATGCACACAAACAATAATGTTGACAGGTTTGAGTCAAATTTGTTTTGTTTTAAAAGCTACTTAGATTTATGAAATGTTTCGAAAAACATGGTATGTTAGAAACAGACACACACAAACGAACGCTGATGGCTCAGTGTAGATGCTCCTTCCCTTCCAACCGTGGGTCCCGGGTTGGAATCTGGTCTAGGAAAATTCACTTTTTTAAAATTTTTCTTTATATGTACAGCACTGAATTGAAAATATTTAGTGGTTTACACGATAAAATTTTAAAAACCGATCGATTGTAGCAGAACAATATAATATTATAGCTAAATCAAGGAAGCATCTGACAGTAGTGACTAATGACTCATTAATCACTGCCGTGATTAATGGGTATTAATAAGGTCGAGCAAACAGACGTATAATGGGTACATTATACAATAGTCGTGGATAAAATATTTTTTTGTACCCAAACCGCACATTTAATCAAAATTTTACAAGACACCCAAAAACTTCCAAAAGGTATCACCTATCAAATAAAAAATAGTCGTCATTATTGCCTGAAAGAGGAAAAAGTTATGAGCGGATATTTTCACCATACATCAATTTTGTAGGAGTTGTAAGTTTTAAAAAACACTCTGTATAACACCAAAATTTGTAGATTGAAAACAAAAGTCCACACTCCAAAAATAATCAAAATCGAATAATACATATTCGAATTATTCACAAAATTCAAAAAATTTTCACTTTGAGGCCATCTAGCGACCAAACGAAGTAATTTCGGATATAGGTGAATTAGCCTAAATCTGCCTATTTTGAGTTCACGAATCTGTGGTCTTCCGTTATACATGTTATTCTGGGACACCTTGTATAATGAATCCAGTAGTGACACATAAATTCAGTAAAAGTTTCTAGTATGTCAAGTAATTTTAGCTTGAGAAAACCCTCATTTTCTTATAATGACTGTATATACAGGGTATTTCCTAAGTACAATCTGTAACTTCAGAACACAATTTCTATTGGTATTTAAAGAAAAAAAGTTCCTATAAACGTGTGGCTGGAAACGCATAGATTCTGATATACAGGGTGTTGAAAATTAAAAAAATATATATTAATATTTGAAATAAATTTGGAACAATCAATGTTAGGTTCTTAAAATTTGGCAGTTATTGTTCGTTGATAAAGAGTTGCATTTTTAGTATTAAGTCAATTTTTATCTGCTGCCAGTGCACTATCTATTAATAGAAAGTTCAACTAAAATGTCACACTGTCCACCTTCTATTTACTAATATAGAATCAGAGAAGAGTTACATAAGTAAGTTTTCTGTAACGACACATCCATAGTTTACTACTTACGTCACAAGATTGAGGATGATATAATGGCATATGATCCAAACAAAAAATATTGTAAATCAATTAAACATTTACAGAATAAATTATTAGTGAAATTGCTTGTACAGTTCGCATTAATAACTATATTATAGAATAGTATTCAGCGACAAAACACAACACATTTTTTTAAGCTAAACAACTCTCTTCTAGAAATTACAAGTAGCTCGTACAAACTCAATGATTTCGTGTCCATTATATTAAAAGATTAAAAATATATTAGCTTATTCTATGCAACAAATAAAATATGTACTTGTATTATATACTTGTAGTTAATGTTTTTAGCACTGAAGGTTTGTTTTATCTTCTCATACATATAAACAAAATTATTTCACTTTTTTGTGAGTTCGATTTTTGTTACGCGATATGGTTGTGTTTTCTTTCTAATTATATAAGTTCAAGTTTTAGATATTAATGTAGTTATTATATTTTGTAGTTCTTCTGTGCTTAGTTATCTGTAATAGTTGGCATTTCCTCATCCTGTAACTGGATTAATTCCGTTGTAATTTAAAATATTACCCCTTATTATTCAAAATATCATTGAAGTCACAGTTCCAATGTGATACAATTTGAATACAATATAAATTATTACAAAAAAAAACTAGAGATTAAAAGTAGATCAGTCCCAAGGTTTTTCTCGAGAAAAAATAAATAAATATTGAATTTGTACACTACTCTATGGACCCTTTATACCTTGTGTTGCAATATTACACCAACAAAAATGTACAGTCAAAAATAAATATAAAAATAAGTTCATATGTACTTATATCCTAAGCAACTTTCTGAGATTCAGGGTAAAGCTAAATATCTCTTAAGATGTTTGATATAGACTGATTAAACTTGGATTGGTGATTGAACTTTAGCATTTCAAAGCCATTGAGTATTTTATTTAAGGAGGTTTATCTGATATGAAATTGACAAACAAATATTTATAAAAAAATTAATATAAGCTTATTAATATGAAGAAAATCCTCAAAAAAAATTATGACTATTTTAGATACCTAAGAGACAAGATATTAATAAAATAATTTCTCACGATTTAGTACAGTCTTATCAGAATGCAAATTTTTTTGGTCTTTCCACTTAGAATGCGCAACAATTGGCGAACAGTTTCCACAGCAACTTGTATTGGAAATCGATATCTAAGGAACCGTATGACAGTTCATAGAAATCGATTAGGTACTTGTAATACCTAATTTATAATAATTTTCCTTCAAACTGCTGTCGTTGACTAACTTAACCTCCATATGATAGCGGCAACGCCGCGGTTCTTGACGAAGTGTATTATTTGAAATTCGCAGGTGTGACATTTGATGTATATTTCAAGTTTAGGCATCCAAACAAACAGAATGATCGGACGCGAGGAAGCGAACGCCGAGCCGAGCGCGCCAGCCAAGTGCAACGTTGCCAAATCTAAAGGCTTACTACTTTAGTCACTAGCGAATCTACAAAAACTCTCATTTGACTTTGGACGCACTCGATAAACCTCCTAAATTCTTATTTGTTAAATTTTAACAAGAAATTTTTCTTACATTTCCTATTTTATATTATTTAATAAATAAAATTGCAAACGAACATGACTTAAAACCTGAGTCAAATTTTTGGTATTAAATAATTTTTTTTATTAAGTAGTTTATTCTTCCTAAAATATTTTATCATTTATCATAAATAATAAATATATTTGTATTTTTTTTCTAGTAACTATCCTAATAAGAGAGTGGAAAAAGATTCAGATGGTGTCCCATATGGTATTATAGGAGATCTCTCATTATTACAAAACAGTACACTTTCAGACCAGCCAATAACATCGTTTGATTGGTGTGTTGATAAAATTGGATTAGCCGTTTGCTCAGCTTTCGACCAAACAGTTCGAGTACTTATAACTACTAAACTTAATTTATACTAATATAATCATGTAATTTCTAATACCTACTAATTTAATTTTCCAGTTTATTTAAATTAAATTCAATTAGTAAATTATTTTTACTTTAGTTAAATATGTTGTCCCAAAATGGCAGGTTGATTGTGGTTTTTTATCAATATGAAGGAACTTTAATTGCAGGGGCGGCTTTTGACTTCCATACCAGGGGGATAACGGAAAAATTTAGGTACAAAGTATCGAAAAAGTAAATAAATAAATATAATTGGGTAGTTATATTTTAAGTACTATTCAAATATAGGGAAAATGTGCTCCACAATATTTTCTATAGGGAAAGTTCTTGCTTCTGTTTTTGTCCAAAATAAACTTTTCAATTACTTTTTTATTAAAGTTTGGTATTTCTCGCTCTACTGATTTTTCAATATATAGCATTGCAAGTGCTGTTAGTCTGTCTTTACAATCATTTAAAAAATACAAGAAACAATACGTAGGTAACAGAATTTTGCACCGCATTTAAACAATTCTGTTTAATAAGAAAAAAAAGCAATGTATAGCTATTATTTGGTTACGTGCCAATTAAACAGAGCTCAAACGGCACAGTAAATATGGGCTACTTCCATTCTGTCTTTCATTGCTGCGTGATGGTAACCATGACCACCGCTGTAAACACTTTGCAGATTTAGGGGTGAGCTATGAGGAGTCTACATATTCAGTGTTTTTCAAGTGAATTTTGCAAGTCGAGTTAAATTGACTGCACATTACAAATTTAATATTTCCTTTTTACTGTGTTTCATAAGTCTAATCTATTTAATTACCTAAATAATATTGTAAACTAAATGTTAAATTAAAGTAGTTGGCTGTTGTTGTGATTGCGATTTGCCCAAAGAAAACACTACGGAATTGACTATACCTAATAGAAATTCCCCAAACCTTGCATCGTCCCATTAATATTATTATAAAAACAGTAATTAAGCTATTTATTGACTTTATAAGTACCTATATATTCTATATTAATATAACATTTTATATAGAATATCATCTAAGGAAATGATCCTCTTATGAACAATCTCCACAAGATTTTTGAAGTTTAACTTAATTATTTTCAATTTCGGTTAGGAATTATAAAAATTAGTTCACATCAGTGATATCTTAACCAATTTCCATCTTTCAACTCAGATCAATATTTTTTGCTAGCATGTACACAAACTAAAAATAAGATCTTGGGATATAATAGGATGGAAAACTGAAATATATATAATACACAGCAATAAAATCTGGAAAATGTATTTATAAAATACATATTACAATAATTTCAGATACATATTAGTACAGTCCATATGATATTTGTGGAGAAAAGAACCGAAGAAACACGCTTTCGTAACTACAAAACACCGGTTGCACTGCAAGTTGCTATGGTGAACGCCACTCCACCAATGTCCTACCTTGGGTGTTGAATGCGGTTAATTCAAAGAAAGTGGTGCAGGGGTCTTTTTGGAATTCAAACTCAACAAATATCATACGGACTATAACAATTTAATGTTTTTTTTTCAATTTCATTGCACAAAAAATGTATGCAATAAAATTTTAATAGCTATCTAATTGCAATATCTATTCATACGCATTTTATAAAATATTATGCTTGCTTTATAACAATAAAACAGATATTTAAATATTTTCCTCGTAAACAATACAATTTGACAAATAATAAATTAATTACTAATCATTATTGTTCACCACAAATCGCGTAATTAATTTTTATATTGTGTATGTTTCTCACCTTCTGGACATTTTAGTCTTTGTTATTCATAATCTTCTTTCTTCTACAGTGGCAGATCGGGGCTGAATTATTGTATTCACTGTATATTCAGTATCTCCTATTGTTATTGTCTCTTGCTTAGAGACTGTATACTAGAAATGAGTTTTGCTTGGATCTGTAAACCTTGCAGTAAATATGTAGAATAAACATGGTACTGGAACTAAAAGGATGAGCAAAGCATGCACAGTAGGATTTGTCAATTGCGTAATAGAGATTATTCCATAAGCATGTAAACACCAGTGTCCTACGAGGATAATAATATTTCGGGGTTCCACCACTGTTGTGAGAATTAATGATGAGATACTTTGGTCCATTTTAATGGCAAAGTGGGCTGCACATGATATTACTGACAATATTACTACCAAGTAGGGAAATGAGTAATCTAGAAAATGAAAATATTATTTAATAAACAATGGAAAGAATTACAATAACAATTTGTAACAAAAGTATTTTTTTAAGAATTTCAAAATATTTACAATTGACATATGGTATCCCAGCCAAAGACCATTATACCATAACCGCCTTATCATTAAAACAAATAAAGGATACCGTTTTTTAGAAGACGACTTCTATGCAAATAAGTATAGAGTACCTATTTTATTAAAAATTTATTCAAAAATTAAGATGATCCAATATACTGTGTTCATGGATCGAGTTAAAAAAAAAGGAAAATCCTTTTTATTTCTCATTTTATGAAAGTAATTTTCAATGCTTTTTCACATTTACACTGAGATAAAGACTGACTGGTCTATCTTCAATAGTAACAGGGATATGGTTATGCAAAAAATGTGTCATAAGTCATCGGATCATCATAGAATTTTCACATTCAACTATTTCATTTACTCCAATTTCTTCAAAACTCCAAACAATTCAGATAAAAATATAAATAATTTTTTCGATTATAAAAATTATTCTTTACTATAACTGCTTTGTGATTTTTGTTATTATTTTTTGATCAAATGCATAGTGAAGTTTGAAAAAGTATATAATTACATCTTATAAAATGTAAGTCATTATCATAGAGGCGAGGCCAAAACAGGAAATTGTTGGTATTATAGATTTATGATAAAAAGTTTATTATTTAAATACTCGTTAACGCTTAACAATATATAAATTTTTTCCCAAAATTTTTTAGAAAAATGTGAAAAATTTGAGAAAACAGAAATGTCCCAAAGAACATTTAAAAATATTTTTAAATGTAATAAATTGTGGTAATGTTTAGAAGAATATAAACAATCAAAAATTTTCTGTTAAATATTTTTACTAACAATTACTTTTAGAAAGTATAAATTTAAAAAATAATTTTTTACAGCATGCAGAAAAAACAAATTCTATGGGTTGCCATTTCTTTACTTAAAAGGGCAGGATCATTTAAATTTACAAAATTGCACCAAACATTGCTTTTTTGAAAAGTAATGAAACCATGAAACCTTATAGCAAAGTTGTGAAAACAGCGCGGCTGGTGAAAATTGAAGTGGGCATATTTTTATAAAGAAGCATGAGACCGATCCTGTTTGATGAGGCCCATAAAGAGAACTTTCATAATCGCATTGGGATCTCGAAAAGAGTTACATGTATATGTGTAAAATATAAAGTTTTTTTTTATTCTTCGCATAATTAAATTTTCTTCGTAATTACACTTATTTAAATTTTAATTTGTTATTAACATCCCATTTTTCAAAATTAATGGTACTGTAAGTTTGAGAATGAAAATTTTGCGAAAAATAAAGAACACTTAATTGTATTTATTATGATTATGAAAAACAATGTTTTGCATATACAGGGTGAGTCAAAATTCACTCTCCAGCGGCCGGATATATATTCTAAAATAAAAAATAAAACAAAAATGTAGAATACTAAAATCTCGAAAGCGGAGCCGTTTTCGAATAAATTTTAGTTCAATAAATGCGCAATTTTCGACTGACTAATCAAGTTGGCTGGACAAAAACTAAATGGTGAAAATTACAGTAATTTTTGAGAAAACATTTTGCCAGGTTTGTTAGAAAATATTCCTCTACAACAACGTGCAACTATGTGGTTTCAGCATGATGCGCCCGCACATGCCACATTACAAGTAAGACATATTTTGAACCGCCATTTTCCTAATAAATGGATTGGACGAGGTGGATCAACACCATGGCCACCCCAGTTTCCTGACTTGACTCCGATAGACTTTTGGTTATGGGAATACAGAAAAGAAAAGGTTTATGTTACTGTGCCTGTTGGCGGGGATGATGTTATTGGCAGGATTCATGAAGCAGTAGCGGAAATAAATGAAGCTAATTTCTGTTCTGTTGCCAGGAGTTTCTACCACAGATTGCAGAAGTATATTAACGAAAATGGTAATGTTTTTGAAGGTTAGTCAAAGCCAGAAGGATCTTCGTTTTTGCTATTTCTTATTTTGTATGGATTTTAATGGTGTTAATATTAAACAAAAAAATTATAAATTTGAATTTTTCTTTACAAAATTTTCCGAAAACGGCTTCGTTTTCGAGATTTTAGTATTCTACATTTTTGTTTTATTTTTTATTTTAGAATATATATCCGGCCGCTGGGGAGTGAATTTTGACTCACCCTGTATACATGCAACCCTTTACGAGGCTCTAGGTAGGCACTCGTTTTTATTTCCTTATTTTGCAAATTTTATTTGAAATTTTTTTGTCAAGGAAGTTCTCTTTGGAGGCATAGATTTCATTTCCTAAATAACGGTTCCATGCTCATTTATAAAAATATGCCGATTTCATTTTTCACCATGGCGGAAAATATGAATATACAGGGTGTCCCAGAATAACGTGTACAACGGAAAACCACAGATACGTGGACTCAAAATAGGCAAATTTAGGCTAATTCTAATTATATCCGAAATCGCTTCATTTGTCCGCTAGATAGACTCAAAGTTCGTGAACATTTTTTGAATTTTGTAAATACATAACTTGAATACATATTCGATTTTGATTATTCTCACAATGTGGCCTCCAAGTTATATGCTCATTTTGCATAATACCCAAAAATTTTATCAGTTCTGAGCTACTTTTTACTATTTAAATATAGATGGTTTTGTTTTAACCAAATTACATAGGCACTTTATAATTTCATCACATTTATTCTGTAGGTCAATATCAAATTTGTATGATATACTAATTAAAGAAAGATCGTCTGCATATAATGAGAAACAAGTATTACCCAGTATAGTCTCAATACCATTCATATATAAAATGAACAAGACAGAACCGACCACAGATCACCGAGGTACAGTGCCGGCCCTTTGAAACTGGACGACTCTTATAAGCAAACTGTCTATAATTGGCCTTTGTGGAGCTGAATTGAAAATGTGAGGTTCAAATCGGCTGTCTTTATGTCAAATTTAATGTGTGTCCATCATACTAGTTCTAGTGAGCAATCCAAATCCAAATTAGGTAGCAATTATTTATTTTTCCAATAATAAAATATATTATACATTCTAACGGCCATTCATTCGCCGTCAACGAGATCTAAAAATGAAACACTTTTCGTCGTCAAAAAAACGCGATTCGTAGTTAGTATTTTGTTCAAGCACCATTTTTGTCTATAACACTGCAATCTACATGGCACTGATAAAATTAATGTTCTTGTTATAATCCTCAGTGATGTCATCCCATGCGTTTTCAATTGCCTCCCAAATTTCTTCGACGTTAACTGGACGGAAGTTTCTGTCGTAAATTTTTTTCACCATATATCCCCAGGACTTTGAGGACCAAGGTAAAACATCGATGTTGTTATCAATGAATCATTCTGACGCAACTCTTGAGGTGTGAGTTGCACAATTATCCTGCTTGAAAGTGAAATTCTGAGGATACAGCATGGTCACAACAAACATCAGGACTTTGGCAGCTTATCCAAGCCCGAACGTTAATGGAGAATCTATTGCTGCGCTGTGTGGGTTTCACATAAGGCTCCGAATACCTCATAATCTCTGGTGGGTAGACATGGACAGAAGCATCGGAGCAAGACTGAAAACTTTTTTTGTCCGAAAATATAATATTCTTCTATTATAGAAGTTGTCTGGGCTTCCTACAAATTGTCTTGCAAACTCTAATCTCTGTTCTTTATACTGGGGAGTCAAAGCAACTGTATTTACGGCCACATAATTCTTCAGCTCCGAATCTTTCACCCGCTTCCTTGCAGTTTGCAGGAAAATTCGACTCAAAGGAAGCCGCTACTGCCATGTCAAAAGGATTTATTCTTAGGTGGCGCTTACTTTTCGACGTCCACCTCCGTGAAAATAACGTACGTGACCCTCCGCAATCCATTTTTCTTTGAGTTTAAATATGCTGTTCTTGCATACATGCAGATCATCCGCAATGACCAATTTTTTTGAAGTAAAGTTATAGCTTTCACTTTCTCTGGTTCCGTTAAACGCGGCATCTTGAATTACCAAGCAAATTACTAATGACACGGACATATAAAAACTTGTCATAATAAGAAATAGACCACATCACATTCGAAAAATAAATCGTCCACTTTCAAAGAGCCGGCAGTGTACACCTGATTCAACTGTACTTAGTTTATAATAGATGATAGATACCTAGTAAATACAGTATAGTCTCTTTAATCCGAACTCACTTTAATCTGAATATCCACTAATCCGGCCCGACGAATGCCCGTTTCGATGGTCCGAACAAAACTTTAATTCGAACAAAATTCAGTTTAACGTATTTAGTTCGGATTATAGAGTCAGACTACATAATAAAAAGTAACCACTAAAAACGTAAATCCCCGGCAGTCTCAGGGAAACCCTTTTATGCAAGTCGAAACCTTTCTCGATTAGATCTTTTTAGTTGCCGTGCAAACATGTCGCAAAAAAGAAAGCATCACACGTTACCTCTTGCAAAAAGTGGATATTCTAAATAAATTGTTTTTTTTATAAACCTTTTTTATTTTTAATAAATGTATATCCATATTTTACGATAATATTTGGTTTTATTGTTATTTTTTGCCTTCTCAGTAACACATAAAATCTAATTCATATTATATGTATGTACATAAACATATTTACTATCCAGTAATCCGAAAATATCGGTAATTCAAACTTATCTCTTTAAGCACGTGTCTTAATTAATTCGGATTAAAGAGTCTATACTGTAGAAGTAAACTTTTCTACAGCTAATAAAAACGGAAATCTATTGTAATGATTCTGGAGATCGCATTCAGAGCATCGACAGTAGTATATTGTAATTGATGCAGTCGAAGGCCCTACTGAGGTCACAAAAGATTCCAACAGGGCACTCGCCTACCTCTATATACTTTACTATATTATAGAGAGAAAATACCAAATTACCTGTGACTGGTCTATAATTTTTCAGTAAACAAAAGTCACCAATAGAATAACGTTACCCACTTTTA